CAAGACCACAAAACCCCCCCACACAAGGCACACACACACACACACACACACACACACACACACACACACACACCACAGGCACACCATCCACACACACACACACATGTACACATACACTCCAAGACCACAAAACCCCCCCACACAAGGCACACACACACACACACACACACACACACACACACACACACACACCACAGGCACACCATCCACACACACACATGCACGTACACATACACTCACATGCACTCAAACATACACACCCACAAAAGGCACACTATATGTACACACTCACACACACACAGAGACACCACTTTTATTATGAAGCTCCATTTCCCATCTTCACAGACTTGCAGTATCCTCCCTTAAATAAGCATGTAAGGAAATTCCAAAAACTTAAAGTACCATCCCCAAGCCCTACCTGTTCTTGTTTTCTAGCTCTGCAATCAGCTGCCTTTGTTGCTTATTTGCATCGATGGTGAAGGAGATGTCAGGAGCACTCCTCTGCTGAGTTGGCTGCTGCAAAACATGGAGTTGACACTATTAGGAAAGTGAGTTCACATGTGAGATGCGAGTCACTGGATATGAAGACAAGGAAGAAGAAATTATTCCGTGGGGTGGGATGCGGGGCAAGAACAGAAAATTAAATTGCTATTCATTCTAAGAACAAACTGTTCTACAGATCTCCAATATACCTACCTACACAACGGGAAACAAAACCCTGCTTCAGGTTCTCAGATATGACAATGAGATTGGGTAAAGGGGAGGCATGTGGGACATTTGAGTATATCACACTACTGTAGAGGCTTTCTTCCTTAGTCTATCATATTTTTAAAATTGACAATGCATTGCCAAGACATCATAATTATAGCAACAAAGACAAGAACAACAAAAAAGTACCAATTCCCTCACTAATTAGCACTGGGCATAATGATAGCAGTGGACTAGGGCATTTGCAATTCAAAGATGCTGGGGGCCAACAGGGGTTTCCTTTCATTCTACTTACAGATGAGGAGGACTCTGCTGCCAGGCGTGCAGCATACCTGGCGATCAGCCTGTGTTCTTCATCAAGCCGGTTTGAACTCTCAAGCATACTACAGAGAACAAAGCAAAAAGGAGACTGTTAGGCCACTGAGAGAGACTGATGTCTTTCTATCGCAGCTAGGGGCTTCAGCCATTTCAATGGCAAATATTTTCAAGCTCTCAAATATCTCTTAGAGTAATGATCTTCAATTTGGGTTCATGCGATGTGATCCAATGTGTGTTTGGGAAGGTCAATAACAAGTCCTTTGCCCAGTCAGGTCAGTTATCTTATTAAGAAGGCTCCAATGAGAAGTGACAGGAGTTTTCTGGTGATTCAGATCCAAGAATACTTTCTCTCTAATTTAATTTTATTGCTCTTAATATTTTTATTTCATTTACAAATAACTTATGTCAAAAGTGACAAAATTGGAAATACGAAAGCATGCAGGAAGGATAAAGACCTAGCTGTATTGTTGTTGATCCAATGGCTCCTGCCTGCTGGCACTCATATCCTTATGTAATCGCCCCCCTTTTCTGTGGTCTGCTACTTGCTGACTTCCATTTGATGAACAGGATATGGCAGACAAATGGAATGTCACTTCTAACATACAGTTTTAAAAGACTGTGACTTCCATCTTGGGTGACCTATTTCTTAAAATCTCTTGTGATACTTGTCCTGAGGGGTTCTGGATTTCATGTAGTAATCTGCCAGTGTGATGAGGACCCAAACCAACTAGGAACCATGTGAATGGATTCCTACCAGTTGAGGCTGTTGTTGGTCCCAGAGCAAGAGAGGAGAGATGGGCTATCTCCCCACAAACATCCTTGAGTCAAGAGTATCTTGCTAAGCTAAGCCCAGATTCCTTCATGAAACTATGAGATGATGCTTGTTGCATTAATTTGTTAACCTCTAGGGTAATATGCTACATTGCAAGAGATGGCTTACATGGTTGTTAACTATAATGCTACTTCTGAGACAACCCATGCTTTCTATTTGTTTCCAAAGACATAAGATTAAGTGGTGCCTCCCAGTGGCATTAATAGAAAGTATTTAGTGGCTCCTATCATGTCATACATAGAAGCCACTCACACTAGACTAAGACTATCTGAGTCCCTGAAACCAAGTACAAGCACAAGTAGTAAAAGCCTCTCATATTTCAGAAAACTTCATCTTCTGAAACCCTTCACTTGAGACTACATTTGGGTGATGCTGAGGAAAGTTGAATGAGACATCCCACTAACACTAATCTCATTAATGGGTAGCTCTTGGCTTGTTTTTCTTAATTAGTATGATGTGGATGAGGTCAGAATCAAGTTTATAAAATGCTTCTCATTCCCAATCATATTTATATCATTATCCACTGGCCCTTACACTTTGTTGTTAAAATAAAAATAATAATAAGGGGCAGAGAGATTTGGTACCCTCTTTTGGCCTCTGGAAACAGGCGCACAACAGTGAACAAACATACATGGATACAAAACACTCATATACATACATAAATAAAAATTAAATGATAATGATATTTGTGATTGCTCATGAAAACACACCCTCTTATGCCAGTATTGTTAAGAGTTTTCCATTGTGAAGACTCACATCCATAAAGGAATATACAGTTGTCCTATATGTACGCTTGCGTATAAAAGTAGCATGCAACATGGTCTATTAAATGTTGTTTTCAGCTGAGAAGATGAGTGGATCTCTTAATTTTTACCAAGCTTGGCCCTGTTTAGCTGAATTTGTCATTGCAAAAGTTTTGCTCAGGCATCTGGACTATCTTCTATGCCACTTAATGTATGTTCTTATCTATATCCCTTACACCTGTCAAACCTACCAGTTTTATTCTTGAACTGTTCCATTCTAGACTTAGACATTTTCTGTGGACTATAGTAAGTAAACATTCCTGAGTCCCCCTACTTTACCAACCCGTCTCCATCCACAGAGAGGAGGGATGTTCTTTCTGACTGTCCATCTGAGGTAATAAATGCAATAAGTATCCAGTCAGCACACTGTCTGGAACACATCATGTGATCAAAAAATGTTAGCTTTACCTCTAGTTAACTTTATGAATCACATTAACAATTCTTGTCTCTTAAGCAATCTCAGCCACTATGTGAACCATCCAGAGCTGGGAGTCTCAGACTTTCAAGTCTAAACATGCCACTCAGAGATGTGAAGCTGGTGGGACTGGCTGAGGTTTGGGGGTGTAATCTGAGGGTCTGCATGATACTTCAGAAGATAGTACTTCTGGTTTCAGAAGATCGCTGAGCAGAACAATCTAGAAGATCTGACAATTTAAACCAAACATCTGCATACAAGAAATAAGGACTGTATCTAAACCATATAAATTATTCCATTTTGTGAGGGTTTGACTGATACCTAGATATCAGTCAATTTGATATTTTACAGACATTTTCCTGAGACAAGAAAATTCTAGAGTGCAGAATTCATATGATGTATAATATCAATCCCAAAGTTGACAGGACATAAGTTTTAACAGAATAAGCCAGAATTATTTATGGAAGCTGATGCTTGAATGTAGATGTGTATCTTGATAAAGTAGTGTCTGCGGTATGTAGAGCTTAAGATGGCCACTGTTTTAATTACAACTTCAAGAGAAAGGAAAAGTTACACCATCTTTGCTTAAAGAGATGCCTGACCTGCTAAGAGACCATTTAGTTTGATTTTAACATGCCTATCATTTCCAGCTGGTGTGTTGGAGATAACTGCCTAATTCATAGTGTGTGCAGGCTAAAGTACCCAGTGTTGTGAGCTTAAAACTGAGACCATCCATTTCAGTGCTTGAAAGTGACTTTGTCATGAACACGTGTGAGTGCTTTGATAAATATATAATAAAAAACCTTGATAAAGAACTTCATGGTAAAAGTAGTTTTTATTATGAATGACCTGCAAGCAAATAAAGTATGAAGGTTATATTAAAAATCCTCCTGGCAATGCAGGCCGTAAAGATATGAGATTCTGTCTCATAAGTGATAACTCATATCCCAGGCCTTTCTTCATCCAACATGGAGTAAATGAGCACTGGTGTGATACATCACTCGGTTTTGCATCCAAATGATTTATGAGTCTACATGAGCTTTTTAGGATGTTCAAATTACACCCTGGTGAATGGGACACTCCTCTGATAAATTCCATTATTTCAAGACCTCAGTTATATGCAATTGAAAATAAATGACCAATAACCTGTAGATTTCTAAAATAAAACCCACCCAGCTTTTTCTCGACTATTCATTTGAAGACTACAAAATGATGATGCACCAAAAGGGGAAACGTTGCTCTGCTGGCTGCATTTTGAAAGCTCTTTGATTTCTATATTAAGGGCAGGGACATTGTCCTTTACAAGGGATTTCAGATGGCATTTCTGGGTGACACCTAGTCAGGGCTTACTAAATTGAGCTTTTGCAAAGATTTCTGAGAACTCAGGTCTGTTCCATTTCCTTGATGCTTTTGGAGGTGGGTGGGCCTGATTTGATATCCAGGGTGGGGCAGTCAGTGAAAAATGACATAATTCGTAGAAGAAACACTTCCACATTCTCTCTGAATAAGCTTTGTTCGAATAAATAGGCTTTGTTCAAAAGAAGGCACTACAGATAGATTTTAAGGTTATCAAGTCTGATGTTTTACTCCTCTATTAAAATGAAAGCAGCTGACGGGAGACTCACCCCAGAAGTACTATAACTCTGGGAGGCCCATCCAAGAAGTTGTTATAACTTCTAAGAAGAAGATTTAAAATGTGGTGTGTGTGTGTGTGTGTGTGTGTGTGTGTGTGTGTGTGTGTGTGTGTG